AGCAAATGTACTTAGTTACTGTCCGCCTCTGTTTACCCCCCAGATCATGATTGGGCTAGTTTTGGACTAGTTTTGAGAAGCAATTGGGTGGATTTTGTTGAGAAAACCTGGAAACCCTGTTTGTATCGTGCTTTTGTGCATGCGGGTCAGTTCAGTACCATGATCTGTTCACACTGTAAATCTGATATTGGCCACATTTAAAACAACAATGTCAACAGCTACCAAAAAAACGAGCCAGGGGCTTTTTTTTTTTTTTAAATGGCGCTTTTACGCCTGCCGTTTTGTACGCCGGTGTGCACACTCACATTGGCGCCCTTTGTTTAGTCACGAGGCATTAAACGTCGGCGATAATCACGAGCGATATTCGTTCCGGTGTGCACAAGCCTTAAGATCAACCACTTTTACCTCAGCACTCCAAGCTCCTTGGCCTTATATTTACCTTTGGCTCTACTGCAAAACTTTTTGATTCCTTGGCTCCATTTATTCCATCGTGATCCTTCATCCTCCCAACTTTACTGTGATGCCTCATCCTTCTAATCTCATCATGGTTTGTTGATCTCTGGCTCCACCAAGGAGTTTTAGACCTGCGCCTTGGCCCTTCATCTCTTTGGCTCCACCATGGATTCCCCCTCTCTTTGGCTCTACTATAGTCCTCGGTTCCCCTTGATCCACCTTGGTCATCTGTTCCTGCAGCGTTACTCTGGTATTTCATTCCACCAGCTTTGTCTCCACCCATGTCAAATTAATCCTTTGTTCATAATGCCCTCTGTTTTAATTCATTATTGGTGGTTCCTATCCTAACACATTGCGTCTTTTTTAGTAGCTGTTTTGCTTTCCCATGGACTTTTTCTTTTTTGTGATATCCTACTCTCATGTACTTCATATAGAAAAAAACCTGAACCATGACTTATACAATAATTATACAATAATAATTATAATTATTTATTTTTAACTAAATTAGCCTATAAAAATTTAACAAATAATCAAATATATTACTGTAGTGATACTGTTGTAGGCTACTGTAAAATAAAAATATATATATTTATTTTATTTTAAGTAAAATTATAATAATAATATTTATGGCTGTTTTCATTTCTTTTATTTCCAATGTTATTGTTTTTATTTGTGTCATTCAGGCTTCAAGCACTGAAGAAAGAAGCTCTTTTGCATTGCCCTTTTTTTTTTACGTGGTTAAGCATTGCCCGTCTCCAACGAATGACATTGAATCAAGTAGGCCATTGAATCACTGTTTTAGGACATTTAAAGGTGGGGTAAGTGATTTCTGGTAGCCAATGTTGATATTTCAAATCACCAAAACAAACACACCCCTACATCCAAACGGGTCTCGCCCCTATTTTGATAGCTCCGCCCCACACATGCGTACGCAACCCAGGCAACGATTAGTTCTGTGAAACAAAGCAAAACCAATGTTACACCGTGTCTACACCTGACGCGAGCGGCGTGGCGCGACAAAATACTATAGCTATACTATACATTGGCTGCATCCGAAAACTTAGGCGGCTGAATTGCTGCCGTATGAGGCAATGACTTCAAAGGCAGCGTTTTTGCACGAAGGCACCTAATACAGTTATGTATTAACTCTATGAAGACCTTGATGAACTCGCCCGCCAAAGGTCTGTGCACAGGAGGAGAAGGTTGAGAATGGCAGCTACTTTTTACTTAAATAGAAGCACAGAGGTAAGTCTTAATTGAAGGTTAGGTAATTGTTCTCATTTTCAAAAATAAACTAATATTATAAACAGCAATACTGTTTATTTTATTTTATTATTACAGTATTACTGTTCATTATTGTATATATTTTCAATAACCCCTAGGCAATTATAATAGAAAAATTACACAGTAGCAAGTGTTAGATTTAAAAAATATTTTATTAAACATAATTATTATACATATTATACATTCCCAAATGAGCAGTTTTCCAGTTTTATTAACTATTCCCAACAGAGCTTGCCAGTTTATTCCATCTGCAACCAAACAGTCCCACTTCTACACATCTTTTTTGAAGGGGGTGACACACGGCCTGATTTCCAGCTGAGTCGTGCGTCCATTACAGCCCTTCTCCAGCTCCTGGACCAGAGGCGGGTTCATGGGTGGGGTTCAACCATTGAACTACTGGTCTTCCTTTTCTGGCTGGCCAGTGGAAGCTCCTACCGGGTGGTGGCCAGGGCGTTTGACATGCCCACATCCACTGTTCACCAGCTCATCCATCGAGTGGCAGGGGCAATGACACGTCTGACACCAAGTCAAGTCAAGTCACCTTTATTTATATAGCGCTTTTAACAATACAGATTGTGTCAAAGCAACTGAACAGCATTAATTAGGAAAATAGTGTGTCAATAATGCAAAAATGACAATAGTAAACACTCATTTTCAGTTAAAGGCAGTTCATCATTGAATTCAGTGATGTCATCATCCAGCTCAGTTCAGTTTAAATAGTATCTTTGCAATCATTTGCAATCAAGTCAACGATATCGCTGGAAATGAAGTGACCACATGTGATAAGCGTCCCAAACATCTTGGATGCACAAAGGGAGGTGGGTGAGGGTTTCAGGCAGCTGGCAGGGCATCCAGCTTTCCAATGGTCAATGGGTGCAATTGATGGATGTCACATCCGGATCAAAGCACCTGGAGTGCCCCATGCTCAGTGCTACAGAAACCGCAAACTGTTTCCCTCAATCCAGCTGCAGGCTGTATGTGACCACAAAGCCAGGTTTATTGATGTCTTTGTTGGCTTTCCTGGCTCTGTGTACGACTCCAGAGTCCTCCGACACAGCCCCCTGTATCGCAGTGGGGCATATCCATCACCAGGACACTTCCTCCTGGGTGATGGAGACTACCCCTGTTTGGAGAGGCCCATTGCCATGTTGACACCCTTCAAGCAGCCTGTAAGAGGAGTGGCACAACAGAGGTTTGGAAAAAGATTAAAATAAAAGTAAGCATCATTGCATGTTTCTTATATTTAAATTGTATTTAAATAATCACTTTGGGGGCTTTACAGGTTTAATGCTCATCATGCCAAAGCCCGCTCAGTCATTGAGCGAGCATTTGGCATCATGAAGGCCAGGTGGAGGGCCATCTTCTTCCACGCCCTGGAGGTTGACACTTCATTCGTCCCAGATGTTGTGTTGGCATGCACCATACTGCATAACATCTGTATTGGCAATGACGACATTATGGCAGTAGAAGAAGAGCAACCTGAGCAAGAAGAAGAAGAAGAAGAAGTGGCTGGGGAGACTACAAATGGAAGTGCTCTGCGTGAACGCATTGCTGCACAACTGTCCGCCCTGCAGGATCATGTTGTTGATCATGATTACCATGTACAATATAATTAAACGTATAAATACAAACAAGATTGATCTTACCTTTTATCTTAATTTCACATGTCTGACCACCTTATTGTATTTGTTTTTATGTTATTGCCTTTGTATGTTCTGTATTCTTGTCCAACACATTCAATACTCACATCACACATCAATGTAGAATAAAGCAGTTTTTATAAAGTTACTGATATGACTGGTGTCTTCATCTCATGTGAGTATACATAAGTTTTAACCATGAGGTCGTCACCTAGAGATGACCTTTATCACCTAGAGACGGCCTCTACGGCCCTGAAAATTAATGTTTGTTGTTGTCCACTCGCATTATTGACAAACTATTCTCTGTTTGTCACTGTAAAGCTGCTTTGATACAATCTGTATTGTATAAAGCACTATACAAAATAAAGGTGACTTGACTTGACATGAGTAAGTATTGAATTAATTAGAACATATTTAAATTAAATTAAACCTATTGAAATTGGAACCTCAGAAAATAAAACCTTACCATCTCAATTTAAGTATATTGGTAACACTTTAGAATAATGGTCCGTTGTTAACAAGTAACTATGCAGGAAGTAATAGGTAGTACTACATTAACACTTAACTTAATACTATTAACTAATAGAGAAGCAAGATTAACTAAGCAGTAAGTAGTAGCAAATTCACATACATTTGTGTGAGGCACTAGTGATATTTTACCAGACACTGTAATCTGGAATATGCGGTTTTGTGCTTAACACAATATAAATGCAGTCCATGCCTTCATTAAGGATGTGAATTGTTTTTGTCAAGAGAACATCATTATTTATATTCAAGAAAAGTCGTCCCCAGACTACTGTCACTAAAGGTATAGGTATTTTGGAGTTGGAGACATACTGAACTGACACAAATTAGAGCTCATAATTGTGAACTAATTCAATCACTTCCTAATTATTAAAATTTTTAAATGAATTATTTTTTATTATTATTTTATGTTTTTGTTTGAAATAAACAGAGAACATCCATCTTTTGGTAAGAGTAGTAGTCACAATTTCAACCTGTAGCCGACTTATTTGGGGATATCATATTCATAAATTAGTTTCCACAAAGAACCCAATTGTTCACTTTTAAGACGTTACTGTTGTGATTAGTAATTAATTGGTGTAGCGTCTGGACCAATCAAACACACAATATATATTTTGTTAGCTATATTTAACAAATACTCTGTAACACCCCT